CGGCCCGGTCCATGACCAGGCCTCCCGATGGATCAGGGCCTGATCAACTAGGCTGTTACTGCTGGCCGCACGCAGTCCAACGTACGAGCCACAGCCCGGCTGATCCGGCACTGACTTTAGGTATCTGTCCAGCTCTCTCTTGAAGGCAGCCAGGGGTTTATTGGCAATTCCCCTAATGCTTGATGGGAGGCTGTTAAACAGTTTTGGGCCCCGGACACTTATGGTGTTTTCCCTTAGTGTACCAATGGCACCCCTACTTTTTATTGGGGGCATTTTGCATCGCCTGCCCAGTCTTTTACTTTCGTAGGGAGTGATTTCTGTGTGCAGATTTGGGACCATTCCTTCCAGGATTTTCCAAGTGTATATTATGATATATCTCTCCCTCCTGCGTTCCAACGAGTACAAGTCAAGTGCTTCCAAGCGTTCCCAGTAGTTAAGGTGCTTGACAGAATTTATACGTGCAGTAAAGGATCTCTGTACACTCTCTAGATCTGCGATTTCACCTGCTTTGAATGGAGATGTTAATGTACAGCAGTATTCCAGCCTAGAGAGAACAAGTGATTTGAAAAGGATCATCATGGGCTTGGCATCTCACGTTTTGAAAGTTCTCATTATCCATCCTATCATTTTCTTTGCACGTGCGATTGTGGCACTGTTGTGATCCTTGAAAGTGAGATCCTCAGACATTACTACTCCCAGGTCCCTTACATTAGTTTTCCGCTCTATTGTATGGCCAGAGTCAGTAGTATACTCTATTCTAGTTATTATCTCCTCCAGTTTTCCATAACGGAGTAGTTGGAATTTGTCCTCATTGAACATCATATTGTTTACCGTTGCCCATTGGAAAACTTTGTTTATATCTTCTTGGAGATTAACCGCGTCCTCAGCAGATGACAGTCTCATGCTGATCCTAGTATCATCCGCAAAGGATGATACGGTGCTGTGGTGTATATCTCTGTTTATGTCTGATATGAGGATAAGGAATAAGATGGGGGCGAGTACTGTGCCTTTTGGAACAGAGCTCTTCACTATGGCAGCCTCCGATTTAACTCTGTTGACCACTACTCTTTGTGTTCGATTTGTTTGGAAGTTGAAGATCCATCTCCCCACTTTCCCAGTTATTCCTTTAGCACGTATTTTATGGGGTATTACGCCATGATCGCATTTGTCAAATGCTTTTGCAAAGTCTGTGTATATTACATCTGCATTCTGATTTTCTTCCAGTGCATCCAAGGCCATGTCATAGTGATCCAGTAGTTGTGAGAGGCAGGAGCGACCTGCCCTGAACCCATGTTGCCCTGGATTGTGCAGATTTTGGGAATCCAGGTGATTTGCAATCCTGCTTCTTAGCACTCTTTCAAAGATTTTTATGATGTGGGACGTCAGAGCTATTGGTCTATAGTTCTTAGCTAATGCTTTGCTGCCACCTTTATGGAGTGGGGCTATATCCGTTGTTTTAAGTGACTGTGGAATTTCACCCATGTCCAAGCTCCTCCTCCATAGTGTACTTAGGGCACGCAAGAGGGTTTCTTGCAGTTCTTAATGAAAACAGAGTTCCACGAGTCTGGGCCCGGGCTGAGTGCATAGGCATGTTGTCAATGGCTTTTTTCGAAATCTATCGGAGTTAGGGTAATTTTCGGAAATCTGGGATACATTTATGGAGTTTTGAGGCTCATTCATGAAGAAATCATTTGGGTCGTCGATCCTCAGACCGATTAGTGGTTCACTAAACACAGAGTCGTACTGGGATTTCAATATTTCACTCATTTCCTTGTTGTCATCTGTGTAAGTCCCATCCTGTCTGAGTAAGGGCCCGATACTAGATGTGGTATTTGCCTTGTTTTTGGCATATGAAAAGAAATATTTTGAATTTCTTTCAATTTCACTAATAGCTTTAAGCTCCTCCTGCCTCTCCTGGGTTTCCTGTAAGAGTCATTTAGCTTAAGTTCGATAGTCTCCACTTCCCTGGTCAGCGCCTCCTTTCGTGTATCAGATGTTCTAGCACTCCTGAGGAGCTCAGTGACTCTTCGTCGTCTTCTGTAGAGGGAGCGTCTTTTTCTCTCCAGTTTACTCCTGCTCTTCTTCTTTCTTAGGGGAATATGCCTAGAACATGCTTCGGCTACCAGGAAGTTGATCCTTTCAAGGCACTGGTTTGGATCCATGTCATTTAAGACATCTTCCCAACATGTTTCGTTTAGGACATGGTTTACCTGGTCCCAGTTGATGTTCTTGTTGTTGAAGTTGTATTTTGTGAAGACACCTTCACAGGTACATGCATTCTGCTGATCAGGACCCCTATGCATGTACGTCTGGACTTCGATTAGGTTGTGATCGGAATTAGTTGTTTTTGATATTCTTATGTCTCTTATCAGGTCCTCATTATTTGTGAAGATAAGGTCAAGTGTGTTTTCTAGTCTTGTTGGCTCCACTATCTGCTGGGGCCTTCAAGACCCCTGGCAGTCTTCAAGACTCCTGGCTGTCTTCAAGACCCCTGGCTGCCTTCAAGACCCCTAGCTGTATTGAAGACCCCTGGCTGCTTCAAGACTTCTGGCTGTCTTCAGGACCCCTGGCTGTCTTCAAGACTCCTGGCTGTCTTCAAGACCTCTGGCTGCCTTCAAGACCCCTAGCTGTATTCAAGACCCCTGGCTGTCTTCAAGACTCCTGGTTACCTTCAAGACCCCTGGCTACCTTCAAGACCCCTGGCTGTCTTCAAGACTCCTGGCCGCCTTCAAGATCCCTGGCTGTCTTCAAGACCCCTGGCTGCCTTCAAGACCTCTTGCTGCCTTCAAGACCCCTAGCTGTATTCAAGACCCCTGACTGTATTCAAGACCCCTGGCTGCCTTCAAGACCCCTGGCTGCCTTCAAGACCCCTGGCTGCCTTCAAGACCCCTGGCTGTATTGAAGAGGGAACTGGACAGATACCCGAAGTCAGTACTTGACCAGCCGGGCTATGGTTCGTGCGCTGGATTGTGTGTTGCCAACAGTAACAGCCTTGTTAATCTGTCCCTGATCCACCAGGAGGCCTGGTTATGGACCGCGGGGGCGTTGACCCCCGGAACACCCGCCAGGTAGACCACCTGTTCAATAATTACCCACCACAAACTATCAATCTACAATACTCTCTCGCTGTCCCACAATCAACCCTCACCATCTGTCCTACAATCCACCATCACCACTACCACCTATCCCACACTCATCTGCTACCACCTGTTGCGCAGTCAACTACCACCATCTATCCCACCCTCAACTACTATTAAATCTACCACAATCAACAACCTCGACACCACCTGTCCCGTAATCAACCACTATCACCACCACTACCACTATTCTAATTAAAAATAACCACCATCTGTGTGATAGGAACCACCAAACACAAAACGTACACCAAACACAGTGTATTTTACACAGTTATGTTTGTACTTGACACTGTAACCACAATTCTGACCACACCACACCTACAGTCTACCATACAATCTACCTGTCTACTCGCATCTACCTCAACTCCTTCGTCTGATGCGCACTGCGTCATCATCCAGTTGATCATTGATCTATCAATTCAGTTGTGTACGCTTATATGGTAGTAGTAGTAATAATAATTGTAGTAGTAATAGTAATGAGTAGTAGTAATAGTAGTAGTATTATTATTAGTAGTAATAGTAGTTCCCAGTGTCCATTCATCAGCTGGTCTGTGATTAGAAGAATCCTTAACCGATTCATTCACAAAATACTTAATGAAGGGAACAGACACCAGCTGCATGATTGATCATCCACTCGACCTTATTTGACAGTGTGCGCGCACTCACCTAATTGTGGTTGCAGGGGTCGATTCACAGCTCCTGGGCCCGCCTCTTTACTGGTAGCTACTAGGTCCACTCTCTTCCTGCTCCATGAGCTTTATCATACCTCTTCTTAAAGCTGTGTATGGATCCTGCCTCCACTACATCACTCTCCAGACTGTTTCACTTCCTGACAACTCTGTGGCTGAAGAAATACTTCCCAACATCCCTGTGACTCATCTGAGTCTTCAACTTCCAGCTGTGACCCCTTGTTGCTGTGTCCCATCTCTGGAACATCCTGTGTGTATGTGTGTACTCACCTAATTGTACTTCAGCTTCAAATTGTGACCCCTTGTTTCTGTGTCCCATCTCTGGAACATCCTGTCTCTGTCCACCTTGTCTATTCGGCGCAGTATTTTGTATGTCGTTATCATGTCTCCCCTGACCCTCCTGTCCTCCAGTGTTGTCAGACCGATTTCCCTTAACCTTTCTTCATAGGACATTCCCCTTACCTCTGGAACTAGCCTTATTGCAAACCTTTGCACTTTCTCTAATTTCTTGACTTGTTTGACTAGGTTTGTGTTCCAAACTGGTGCTGCGTACTCCAGTATGGGCCTGACGTTGGAAATAAATGGTATAAAATACCGACACAAATGGAAATATAAGCACATATGCAGTATAATGTGATCCTTTATTGACAACGTTTCGCCCACACAGTGGGCTTTTTCAAGTCACAAACAGATCTACCTGGGGTGGAAGATATGCAAGTATTTATAGTCAGGTTCAGAATGCTGAGGTCAGGTGGAGAATGCTGCATCTAATGATGCACCGAGCAACCCCAGACCTGCCAGAATATACGGCCTGCCAAAAACTCACAAGCCTGGTATCCCACTGAGGCCCATATCCTCGGGAATAGGCAGTGCTCCCCACCAACTCTCAGGAATTCTCGCAAAATACCTCTCTAAACTCTTGGGCACTATCACTCCAGCACATCTCAAACACTCGGGTGATCTTCTCAATCGCATTGACAACATCAACATCAGGAACAAGAAACTTTCCAGTCTTGACGTAACTTCCCTATTCACCAAAGTACCTACTACACAAGCCATCGATCTCTTGCGCAGGAAAATTGACGATTCACTTGATCTTCCTATTCCAGCCAGCGATTTCATCGACCTTGTTGAACTATGTGTTGGCTTTACGTGTTTCTCTTTCTTCTTTCAGCAGACTTTTGGACTACCCATGGGTTCGCCACTCAATGCAGTCCTGGTGAACCCATACATGGAACATCTAGAAGCCGAGCGTTTCTCCACCATTATTCCTTCGTCTGTCACCTGGCTCCGTTATGTTGACGACATTCTCCTCATAACTCCCAGACACTTCAATGTTCAAGCTCTCCAAGACAAGCTCAACCAGGTCGAGCCTTTAATCCAGTTCACACTTGAAGAAGAAGTCGACAACACTCTTCCTTTCCTTGATGTTCTTCTCTGCAAAGCTGACCATGAACTTCGTTTTAAAGTCTATCGAAAACCCACCAACCAAAACGATCTTCTCCACTTCTACTCTCACCACGGCACCAAAACTAAACGTGGTGTAATTATAGGCTTCTTCCTGCGCACACTCAGAATCTGCAGCAATGAGTTTCTTGAGGAAGAATGTACTATAATTGAACAAGTATTTTCTAAACTCCACTATCCTCGTCACTTCATCAGAGACTGCAGACGACGGGCATTAAACATCAACAACACACCCAGAGAAGACACTGCCGAGAAGAGATACATAGTCCTCCCCACCAACTCCATTGCCAAACACGTTTCCAACATCTTTTCCAATATCTCATTCTAAGTATCTACCTCCACAACCACGACCATCAAGGACATTACCAGTGATAGACAGGACAAGCTTCCACCCTCTGCAGGGGTATACATAATCCCTTGTAATGACTGCAGCAAATTATACATGGGCAAAACATCAAGGGACCTCCAAACACGTATTTCAGAACACCAATACGCAAGCAGGTCTGACGATACAAGGAATGCCTGTGTACAACTCTGTAATTCACACAACCACTTGATAAACTACAGAAACTCAAGACTTATCGCCACAGAAGACAACACTCAATACCGAAGAATCCTGGAATCATCGCTTATCTCTATATCCGACTTCAACCAGAATAGTGGCTTCTATAACATAGCTGAACCACTTGCCAAGGAACTTCTCCATCGTTATCCCACATAAGAGCATAGGAATGGAAGAACACTGCAGAAGGTCTGCTCACAAACTTATCCAATCTCCCTTCCAAGTTACCCAAGATTTTAGACTCTATAACTCCACTCGGTACATCATCAGATGCAGCATTCTCCACCTGACCTCAGCATTCTGAACCTGACTATAAATACTTGCGTACCTTCCACCCCAGGTAGATCTGTTTGTGACTTGAAAAAGCCCACTGTGTGGGCGAAACGTTGTCAATAAAGGATCACATTATACTGCATATGTGTTTATATTTCCATGGGCCTGACGTACACAGTGTATAAAGTCTTGAACGATTCCTTACTGAGGTACTGGAATGCTATTCTCAGGTTTGACAAGCACCCATATGCCGCAGCAGTTATCTGGTTAATATGTGCTTCTGGCGATGTACTCTGTATTATACTCACTCCTAGGTCTTTCTCCTTGGCCATTTAGCCTATACTCTCTTTGTAGACCTGTCTGGTCTGCGTTTGATTTAATTCTCCTCATTAACTTCAAGTCATCTGCAAACAGGGACACTTCTGAGTCTATCCCTTCCGTCATGTCATTCACATATACCAAGAATAGCACTGGTCCCAGGACTGACCCCTGTGGGAGCCCGCTTGTCACTGGTGCCCACTGTGATACCTCATCACGGACCATGACTCGCTGTTGCCTCCCTGTTAGGTATTCTCTGATCCATTGCAGTGCCCTTCCTGTTATACATGCCTGTTCCTCTAGCTTCTGTACTAATCTCTTGTGAGGAACTGTGTCGAAGGCCTTCTTGCAGTCCAAGAAAATGCATTCAACCCACCCCTCCCTCTCATTTCTTACTTCAGTTACCTTGTCATAAAACCCTAGTAGGTTTGTGATACAGGATTTGCCTTCCATGAATCCGTGCTGGCTGTCATTTATAATCTTGTTCCACTCCAGGTGCTCCACCACTCTCCTCCTGATAATCTTTTCCAAGACTTTGCATACTTTACATGTCAGTGACACTGGTCTATAATTTAGTGCTTCATTTCTGTCTCCCTTCCTAAAGATGGGGACTGCATTTGCCTTCGTCCATACTTCAGGTAGTTGCCCAGTTTCAAGGGAAGTGTTGAAGATTTTGGTTAGTGGCACACGTAGTGTCCCTGCTCCCTCTCTAATGACCCACAGAGAGATGTTGTCCGGTCCCACTGCCTTTGAGGTATCAAGGTCACTTAGGAGCTTCTCCACTTCCTTCCTCAGTTGTGTGTAATTCATCCAACACTTTTGGTATATCCCTTATTGCTGTACCCCACTGTTTTGTCTTCCCGTTGTCCCTTCAGCCTCCACTGTAAATACTTCCTGAAATCTCATGTTGAGCTCCTCACATACCTCCTGGTCGTTTCTTGTGAGCTCCCCACCTTTCCTCAGCCTGATTACCTGGTCCTTGACTGTTGTCTTCCTCCTGATGTGGCTGTAGAGTAGTTTCAGGTCAGACTTGACTTTCGATGCTATGTCATTTGCATACTGCCGCTGCGCCTCCCTGTCGTAGGGGCTCTTAAAAGGAGATATCGAGGGTTGAAGGTAGACACACTTGTTGGATGGTAACGATATATTGTCAGACTGTGGTAATGGAAGATGGAGCCCAGCCTTGCCGTGTTCTAGCCTGAATGTCTATGCGCCAACTGAGAGGGAGGCAGAGGTACGAACGTACATATGCGCATCCCGTGACGTCACACAGTCACAGGCCTAAAAGGGATCATCTATATAAACACATGGATGGTACTATGATATGCTATACAACACATATAAGGGGATTCAGCAACTATGCTGACAGCTCGGTCATGTTACGTATGTCGTCTCGACATACACTACTATCCTATAGGCTGAACAGGCAGGTGGTTCTGGGCTGATTCTATACAATAACAAATTCATATATAACTTAGAACTAATGGATGGTATCATAATGGATATTAACAAAATGAGTTTTACGTAATGGGTGTTAACGTAATCACTTTTAACGGGCCGCGGGGGCGTTGACCCCCGGAACTCTCTCCAGGTCTCCAGGTAATGCATTACAAACTATAAGAACAAATCATTGTACAATATGGATGGAATTGATCGATTGATCTGTATTCATGCACTCTACGGATTCTGAGGAAGAATAAATATATATATACAAGGTGAAATTAACAGCAAAGGCATCTGGTGTGCACTCAGATCATTACTGTCAAATTCTCAGAATATGGAGAAAACATTGAATACAAAAAAAAAAAAAAAAAATTCTGAAAAACTAATCAGTTAATAACAAACAGTTGACAATTTACTTCATCTCGGACATCTGGTTATACAGACTATGTACATTTAAACCCAATTCTGCGAGGGTAAGATTTACATATGCAGAATGGTTATCATCTCTGGGAGGATCGAATTCCTCTGCAATGACTAACACATGCCTTGACTGAGGGAGATCTGAACGAGCATCTACAAAAGATGCTTGTGGGTTTCTCATTACTTGTCAAGTACTCAAGGAGTAACGACATTCAGGTTGATTATCTGACTTGAGCATTTGAGGTAGAGGGTACAGAGTCAAGAGGATTTTCAGCATCTGTCACATTAGTCTGGGTAGCAATATCATAAACATGGGCATACTAATTTCATATGATCTAAATGCGATTCTTTGTACTTACCAGTACTAATTTCTCTAACCTTATACTTATTGCCAGAGATATGTTCTACAACTCGATAAGGGCCAACAAACTTTTGATCGAGCTTAGGCATTGCGGATGTTTTGTTGAAATTTATCAGCATTACTCTCGAACCTACTTTGACTTTTGATGGCTTAGCATGGCTATTTGTTACTCTAGTAAATTCTGCTGTTGATTTATGAAGTGTTTCACGGATTCTTCTAAAAACACTTTGAGCCATGCTTGTACGAGTTGCTACGAAATCATCAGGGTTGTAATTGGGTTTCGGAGTGGAATATAACAATTCATAGGGTAAAGCTTGTCTACACCATTCAATGCATAATGTGAAGTATCACCTATGGAAGCATTGTAAGCAGAATTTATGGCACATTGGACATCTGGTATGATTTCATCCCAAGTTTCACTATTGGGGTTGATAGTGGCTCTCAGGACATCAAGTACTTTCTTATTGGTTCATTCGGCTAACCCATTGCTGGCAGGATGATGAGGAACAATGGTGGATTTAGAGATCACAAATTTTCAAGAATCTCATTACAGAATTCACCTCCATTATCTGTTACTAAGGACTTAGGGGTGGTATGCCTGCAGATAATGCATTCTTTAAACGCTTTAGCTACTGTCTCAGCAGTCTTATCTGCAATAGGAACTAACTCACAATATCTTGTGAAATGGTCTACCATAACACACAGATGTTTGTTGCCTTGGAGGGAACATTTAAAATTGGTTAACAAGTCAAGGGGAACTCTTTCCCATGGTTCGCTAGTGGTTGGGTACACTTGGATTGGATTAGGACCATTGACATTTCCTTTATGTTGCATACAAACACTACATTTCTTAACATACTCTGAAATGAAGATTGAGACACTTATGCAGCATATGGGAATCTTTATTCAGGAAACGTTTCGCCATACAGTGGCTTCATCAGTCCAATACAAAGAGGAAGGCGTAAGGAGAGGAGGAGAATGAGGTAATCAGTCCCTCAACCTGGAGTCGATGTGTTCAGTCCATCAATCTTGTAGAAGATTGATGGACTGAACACATCGACTCCAGGTTGAGGGACTGATTACCTCATTCTCCTCCTCTCCTTACGCCTTCCTCTTTGTATTGGACTTGAAGCCACGTGTGGCGAAACGTTTCCTGAATAAAGATTCCCATATGCTGCATAAGTGTCTCAATCTTCAACTTGTCGGTTTTTCAAACCATTCATCACATACTCTGAAATGTCAGTTGCCATACGTGGCCAAAAGTATTTCATTCTGGCTTGTTTCACAGAACGAACCATACCAGGTGTGCAACACCTGGTGCATCATGAACTAGCTGAGAGCTACGTTCACTAGTGACTGTGGAATTACTAACTGGTACACTCTTTTACTTGGAGTACCCAACTCGGCTGTTCGATACAGTAATTCCTGGCTCATTACAAAGTCACTAATGGGTGCTGGTGGCTTCACAGTCAGAATAAGATCTTCCTGGAGCAGGAATCGAATCACACCAGACCACAAGGGATCTGTTCTTTGGGCATTTTTGACATCCTCAACAGTAAATGGAGGATCTGCAGTAACTACACTAACATGTCGCGATAAAGCATCTGCGACTACATTTGACTTGCCAGGTAAATGTTCAAAAGTGGGATTGAACTCTTGGATAGTCAAGGTCCATCTGGCTAACCTTCCAGTAGGTTCTTTGTTCTGGAATAAAGGTATCAATGGTGCATGGTCTGTCAAGACATGAACAGGGTACTGGTAAATAATGTCTCGGAAGTGCTCTAAAGACCATACTATTCCTGAAGCTTCTTGCTCCGTTACTGTATAATTACGTTCAGCCTTTGTAAGGACTCGGCTAGCAAATGCAACTGCGTTGTACTTGCTATCAGTCTTCTGAGCTAGTATGGCACCTATGCCAAATGAACTAGCATCAGTTGTCAGATAGAAGGGCTTAGAAAAATCTGGAAATTTCAAAATTGGAGCAGATGTTAGCTTTTCTTTTAGAGTTTGGAATGCTCTTTCTTGACGGAAGGTCCAAATGAAAGGAGCATCTTTCTTAAGCAATTCAGTTAGAGGAGCTGCAATTGAAGAAAAATTTGGAATAAAAGATCTGTAGAAACCTGCTAGACCCACAAAGGATCTTACAGCATCAGCAGTTTTGGGAGTTGGAAAATTTAGTACTGCCATTACTTTACTTTGATCAGTCGTAACTCCTCTAGGAGTGACTACGTGACCCAGAAACTTAATTTCTGATCTGAAAAATTGACATTTCAACAGTTTGATCTTTAAATTGGCTTCTTCAAGCTTACCAAGTACTATATCAAGTCTTTTCAGGTGTGTATCCACATCTTTGGACATGACGATTACGTCGTCTAAGTACACCATAAGTGCTTTACCTATTAGACCTCTAAAGATGTTGGTCATGAGTCTAGAGAACGTGATAGGTGAGGATCGTAATCCAAAAGCCATTCGAAGGAAGTGATAATGACCTGTGGGAGTAGAGAATGCAGTTAACTCTTGGCTGTCCTCGTGAAGAGGGACCTGCAAAAACCCTTGTAACAAGTCCAG